TTCTGCAGTACTCCTTCCTAGACAGTCTCTTCCCATTCTGTATGTGTGAAACTGATTTTTTCTTCCTAAGTGGAGCACTTTGCATTTGTCTTTGTCTTTGAACTTGTGTGTGGTTAACCTTGTCCTAAAGCTTTGCAGCATTAAGCACCATGGCCTATATTACTAGTGATATATACAATCATTTTAGGTAAAAGCACTCTTGTTTGTGCCAATCATTTGTGAAACAAACTAGCTGTGTCCCCATTAATTTATTCCTCACACAGCCTAACAAGAACCAGTTGAGTTACCAGTGCTTTGGGTTCTAAAACCCGTGAGTAACAGATTTAGCAAGCCAACCAGGAGTGGTGGAGAGAAGGGGATGATGGCACAAATGGTTTGTTGGTTGGTTTCCTGTGCAAAAGGGAAGAACTGCAGGGTAGGGTAGCAACCTGTAATTTCCCTGTGACATAGTCAGCAAGTCGATTTATGAATACATTCCATTACTGGAACTCAGGACTCAGGCTGGTAGCCTGGTCAAGGAAAAAATAAGCCTGAAGTCAAATCCAAATACCCTCCGCATCACCCGTGTAACTCAGGCCACGCAAATCATGGCAAAGGAAAAGCAGGTATGTCCTAGTAAGCAAAAATGTCACAGGCTGAGGCAAAAAGTGTCTAAATTAAAACAGCAAACAATAAAAAGCAAAGGGGAAAAAAGTTACAGCCTTACTAAAAAAAAATCTCCAAATAAAACCGACGCAGATCACGGGGAATGTAAAAGACAAAGCTGGGCTCTCAAGCCAGGTTAAAAAAGCAAAAGTGGATGCAATTCAAAAAAGTCGTAGTCTGAAAAGGATTGAAGAAAAACAGTTAAAACAAGAAGAAAAAAAAAGAGTTCAAGGTTAAACCCTTCACCCCTAACCATGCTAGGGCAGCAGAAAAAAATCGGTTGGCCCGATAAGTAACGATAGACATTTTTCCCCACACTCAGAGCATCTAGAGTGTCTCTATGAGGTGTGGAGCCTCTGATGTCTAATAAGATTGGAGCTCCGAGTGAAGTTTTTCCCGCACTCGCTGCATTCATAAGGTCTGGCTCCCATGTGGATTCTCTGATGTTTCAAAAGTGCTGAGTTGTCTATGAATTTTTTCCCACACTCACGGCACCCATAGGGTCTCTCCCCTGTGTGGATTTTCTGATGTGTAATAAGGTTGGAGCGCCAAGTGAAGCTTTTTCCACACTCAGCGCATCCATAGGGTCGTTCCCCCGTGTGGATTCGCTGATGTTTAATAAGGCATGATCTCTGAGTGAAGCTTTTCCCACAGTCACAGCATGTATGTGGTCTCTCTCCGGTGTGGATTCGCTGGTGTTTAATCAGGTCTGAGCTGTCAGTGAAGCTTTTCCCGCACTCACCACATTCATAGGGCTTTTCTCCGGTGTGGATTCTCTGATGTTTAATAA